CTCGAGGACCATGGATGCTGTCCCATCGCTGCACACATCGGTGGTGTTGGGCGTCGTGAGGTCAGGACTCATATATTCCTCCATTCCCACGGAATTATTCGTGCCGCCGTAATCCGAGCAGCTCCTCGCCGTAAAATCGCAGAATATCGCATTGAAAGCCTCCTCTTCCGTTACATATTGACCATCCGGCTTCTTACCACTACGACACGCAGTCCAGTTGCTCTCGCCGAATAGGCGCCAGTGCACACCGGAATCCTTGCTCCCACACGCACCGTAAAACCATCGCCATCTTTCTTCGCGTACACGTGCGAGCAGCAGCAGCAGTAGAGTTGCTGAATTCGGCGAGCAGATCTGCACACCAAGTGGAGAAGAGAAGGGCAAAAGAGAAATAAAAAGAGGTGCAGCAAAAAGACACACACATCGTCGCAGCGTCGCCGTTGCGTGCGCGGTAATGATGCGACCTCCCGCGGCAGGCACAACTCGCACACTGCACGCACCGCAAAACGGCATCCACACAAGAAACACGCACACACAACGACAGAACAGCCACCATAAAATAGAAGGAGGAGAGAACCACAACCATCTCCCCACACTTGCACAACAAACGGCCCTCCCTTTCTATGCGAGACAGTTGCCGCAAGCCTGCCATCGTTCCGCTGCATGCTCTCAGCGCCCACAGTGGGAGTCAGCACAGCGCACAAGTGAGAAACAAAACGCATCGCACTCCCGTCGGGAGAAATAAAAACACCGTAACGGCAACAACAACGGTGCAAGAGTGTCGCATCGGATGGTACGATGGCGTTGTTGGCGTCCAGACCAATGACGCGTGCCCTCTAAAATACGCGTGGAAGATACCGCACGTACGACTGCAGAGTCGCGTCCGCAGATAAACGGCATTCGGAGCCAAGTCTGCCTCTCGGTGGCAAAGACGGGTCAGGAATGTCGTCGGAGAGGCACCACGGCAGACGGCAGGGTAGAGCAAGGTACCGCACAAGGGACACAAATATTCGCCTGCCTCGTCCCTGGAGAAGCACAACCAACCTGGCCGGGGTTATCTCGCCCTCTGGCGATGGCACATTTTTAAAGAGTCTCGCGGTATTGGGGAGACTCGGCAATGCCCCAACGTGCTTGCCGCGATTCCGCGAGAATGTGGACGGTCTGCATTTGTCCATGCAAGTCACAGTCGATAGGCGCATCATCGGGGATACGGTTTGAGTGCGCCCAACGACGGTTACTTGCCTCATGCCACATCACAGGCAGGCCGTCCCTCATCATTCCCTGCAGGATTCGCCTACGCTCCTCCAAGGAGTACTGGGGGCGTCCGTTGTGCTGCACGCGGATCGCATCATCTTCCATAACAACTCCATTCACTAAAAGACCGCGGTTAAACAGCCCGTCCACAACAATCGTCAAGGAACCGCCACCCACCGCGTGCTGAGGTGGAAAACGCACGCGATGAATACGTCTCCGGTAGGTTTCATCGCAAATACACAACCGCTATTCCCTCCGTCACTGTGTTGTCATCACCGCAGCAGCAACGCACCAGTGCAGGCCATGTTGGGCATGATGGGAGAGAAAGTCCCATTCTCCGAGCCATGATGTCATCAAGAGAGTCAGACGGCTGCTCTGCCACGGTGATAACGTGCCCCATCAGGCGCAACATGATATCAGCGTCCAGCAGATTGGAAGGCGCGGTTGTCACCCCGCCAATAAGAGAAATGCGCGCCACCACACGAGGCTCCACTGGCACTCCCGCCTCCATATTGTGTTCCCTCAGTAACGGACTCTGCGTCAGCACCGTCGCCACACTGGTAGGTCTGGATGTGTCTACAGCACGGCACGCGTTGCTGCCACCGCCCGCTCCTCCCCTGTTTGCTCACCACCCATCGTCATGCGGCAGCAGCGAGTGAGGCAAACCTCGACTGGTTCCGCCTGCAAGTCCCTCGGCATCTGCTCGATCCACCGCCATGGAAAAACGGCGATGCGCAGCGGCGGAGCATTTGATCGTATCAGCAAACAAATTGGAGAAAAAGGACTCAACCACACACACAAGACTCCCAACAAGAAAAGGTACACACGGCGTGGATAACACAACTCAAAGTAACGCTTCCAACACAAAGCGTGAATGACTCCGTCGACGCCACACCCGCACCGCATGCCGTCAACTCCTCCACGGCAAAAACAAACTGGCAAGAGGGAAAAGAAATAAACGCTTCGAGAAAGCAAAAAACGCCACTGCAGCACCGCATCGCTCACAACGTCGTCAATCGGCCTGAGGCATGTCGTCTCGAATACACCTGGCGTACACCGTTCTCCCGGCACTTTTGTTGAAAGGCGGTCATCCACCAGCCGCGATCCGTCGGTCACACGAGGAGTGCAGGCAACAGGCATGTCTGTCGCACCCTCCATCACCCTCACAAAGCGTCGAATTGTCGTTGGCAGGAGTAATGTTGTTTCTGCTCCACGCGTCTCCATCCCCTGGGAGAAGAGACACGCCGACTGCTGCCACCAGTTCCTCCCCCGTCGCCTCCCTTCCTCCACAAGTCTATAATATTCCGCAGAGTTGCTCATGGCAGTGTCTCCACCATCCCGCACGTGAAACAAATTAAACTTCTTCTCCCTGAGACCCAAAGCGACCAAAGCAAAAGCGAGCCGAGCATCCAACGGCTGCACTGGCCCAACCCCAAAAAGCCGCACCAAGTACACAATGACAGGATCGCGACGGCAACACCGCAGAAAAATAGGGTCCACTGCGGAGATTAGTTTGTGCTGCACACAGTTGCGGTGTCGCCGGACTTATCGCATCGCCAAAAACAAAAACAATAATCCTGCAGCGTGCGGGGAGGACGTTTCACAAGCGCATCATCGACGGAGCCAAACAACTGTACCGTCAGCAGAGGGCAGCGGGTGGCGGGGAAGCGAAGGTGGTGGAACTGTTGGGGAGGGTCGATGCGCAGTGTCCCCCACAAATACGAGGCGGATGAGGCGAAACACACTCGCCTGAACGTCACCGGCCACCAAAATGCATGGCTCCCTGCCGGGAATATTGATGAGCTCGAGCCTGGAGCAGCTACTCGCAGTGCGTGAAAGCGTCTTCCTGCACTGACGCTGCGATTCACATTAGACGGGCAACTTCAGCACAGTCGATCCCCAGCAGTAAAATGCAGCTGGCAGTGGCGCTGCGGATTATCGATTCCCCGGGCAACGGAGGGCGGAGAAGAAAACTGGTCTCCCCAGCTGCGCGGCATCCATCCATCCACTCTGTGCGCTCGGAGTGCCCCGCAGCTGCCTTGAGAGATGCAGCGGACAGGCCTCCGTTAGTTTCGCCTCGATCCGTCGACGAAGAATTTCGCGGTGCTGTCGGCACACACCGAAGTCTCCCTCGTGCCCGCCAAACAAAAGACACACCCGTTGAGCATCGTCACGTGCGTCAACGGCCACGCAAGTAAATATCCACCGCAACGCAAAGTGCTTCTTATTGGGCACCAAAAGAAACCTGGAGGCGGCGGCCTCGACAACACACAACAAATCACACGCCAGGCAACGCTCAGATACATGCGAATGGGCCAACGCGGGATGAGCAGCACAAACACTCGAGAGCTGCTGCGTGAACTCCACGGCAAATGGATCAGTCTCAACGCATGGGCACTAATTACGGCGGGTGACAGCGCAAAAGCCAACGGTTCCGCAAGGCCGGGAATTGTGGGGACGGCATTCAAACCTCCTGGGATTCGTGTGCCAAGACACGCAAATAATCCGCCTCTCGGTGAAAATCGTCATCGTCCTCATCGTTGTTTTGCCGTCATTCGTATTGCCACACTCAAAGCCGTGAGGGAAGGTGCTGCCATGATGATTGCGACATCACCCTGAATGAAGGAACGCAATGCCTCGAAGGGTGTCGAGTGCAGGCATCCCGTCAGGCAGCGACACGCCGCACTTCTGAAGAAAAGCCGATAAAAGACCGTAGAAAAAGCTTTCATCCGCCACCGTGATATCGTCCAGCGGGTTCGGCCTCTTATTCCTCCTTCGGCGCCTCGTCCCTCTCCAAGACACCACAGCCGCTGCCGTGCACCACGCTCCTGTTGCAATCACTCTCACAGAGAGGGAGGAGTGTGTGGATGTGTGCCGACAGCACAGCGACTGCCATTGCCAGAGGAAGCCATCGTGGCACCGTCCGTCACGCGCCAGCAGACAAAGAGCAGGCAACGCCATCAACCGGCAAAGCAAAAACAGAAGGCAGAGCACTGTGCAAATACCTATTTGTCCTTGTGCTGGAGGAGCAGAAGGGAAGAGAAAAGGAGCAAAGAGAGGCAAATCAACACAGCAAGAGGCACAGCTGGATGGAGGCGATACATGCGGTACAGCCCCGACCTCAACAATCACGCACGGTGGCGGCACACACACATCCACAAAGCAAAACAAAGAAAAACACGGCGGCAGGGTGTGGCTGTGTGTGTGGCGCTGCGGGTGTCTGCCAGCCCTGGCCGCAAAGAAAACAAAACAAGAGGGAAGAAATGTGTGCTCCGCCCCACAGGCCCTCGTCGCACGCCCACACGTCACGGCTCCCTCAGCGCGCCGTTCGTCGCGGCCCCTCCTCATGCGTGCAGCAGGCGAGGCGCACAGGGCCGTCGTCATGAGCGTGTCGGTGGGTGTGCGAGTGGAGCAGTTGGGCGGAAACACACGGCACCCCTCACACGAAGAGTGCAGCAACAAACAATTAGAAGAGTAGAAAAGAAAAAACGTCCATAGTGATTGCCCCAAAAGCAAAAAAAAAAAAAAAGATATGGGGGATGAAAAATAAAAAAACAGACGAAAGTTAATAACAGAAAAAAAAAGATTTTAAGGACACACACACTCGCACACTCGCACACACGCAAAAAAAATTATGAATTACAAACAGAAAGCAAGAAAAGAAAATTATCTTAAGGAAAAAGTTAGTTCTTGGAATTAATTCCGTGCAGGGGAGGCCGCAAGTGTCCCACGCGGCTGCCAGTCACGCCTCACAGAGCCGCAAACCCCCACAGTCCCAACAGCAGAAGCAGAAGTGGCAGCAGTCCGTTCTCACGTACAGTGCCGGCATCGGTGTTATTCCCCTGCGACACATTTCCGAGACTGCTGCTGAGTGCCGTGGCATTTACGTCCCCGTTCTGTGCGTGGATCTCCTTCTCTCGCCCATCCGTTCCTTCCGCCGTCTCCCCATCCGCACCTGAGCTCGCGCTCGCCCCAGGATTCACTGCGGTTTTATCGTGCCCCATGGCTTCAGCGTTAGGGGCATATGCATCTGCTGTGGCGGGAGTACCCACAGGAGTTTGTGATGATCCATCTCCCTGCACCGTTCCTCCTTCTCCTGTCTCCACCGGTGCGTCACTGCCAGGCGAGGAACCGCCACCCACATTTTTACTTCCATCGGAAGATTCTTCCGAAACCAACTGGGTTGCGGACTCCTCTTCTCCTGAGGAAGTCTTGGCACTGGGCACTGTTGGTGCGGATACACCGTTCACACCACTGCTCCCCATCGACTCTCTCGGTTCCTCCGGTCGTCCACCACCAGGAGACGATCGAATCGCGGTTCCCTGAGAAGGCCCATCCACCACAGATGGAGTAGGAGCTTTATTCGGAATGAGGGCGGCGATCTCATCGTCACTCAACGGGCGGTTGTACAGCAGGAGGTTCGTCACAGTCACAGACACTTCTTCTCGACCTTCTTTGTTGGCTGCGTTTACTCCATCCCCTCCAATGTAGAAGTGGGAGATCTCGTTCGACGCACCATTGCCCAATGCACATTCTTCATTCCCACCCACTCGCTGACCATCGACATACACGGAGCCCTGGGTGCCGTTCTGAAGCACAATGGCCACTTGGTACTGTGTCTCTGTCTCCCAACCGCTGCTGGGCTTCGTCGTCGTTTTGTCAACGCACAGCACCTGCCACTTCTTTCCGCTGTCGAACGACAACTCCATAAGTTTGTTTTTTTTTTCATTGCCATTCATCTTCACACCCATCAACGGAATGGGGGTGTCTCCCTCCTTCGGCACATTGTCGATGGACACCGTCGCCACAAGAGTGAAGTTGTAGTTCGCAAAGTGGTACAGCTGATTCTGCCCCTGCTTGCCAACAGGCCACTCCGCCCCTGCACCACGCCCAGTGAACTTCACACCATTTTTCGTGCTGGCCAATGTTGCCGCTGCTGCCCCTTCTTTATTATTTACTGTGGCGTTCACGCCGAGGTACTCGTCCCTCCATATGTTCCCAGAAAGGTTGCCCGACAAAAAGCCAACCAGCCCAGCCGTGATCTTAGCAGCGTTGCAGGCATCGCCAGTTGAGGAATCCTTCTCAGCAATTAATGAGGTGCACAGCTGGGAGACACGGCCGTCCACCTCCTTCCAGGTCGCCAGCACCTCCTTCACACGCTGCAGCTTCTCAGTCAGAAGCACAGAGACCATACCGGGTGATGGTTTCACATCCTTCTTCTTCTCGTACAGTGCAATCAACTTCTCATTATCATCAGTATCATCTTCACCTGTACCACTGTTGTACAACAGGGAGCTGGCGGCAGCGTCATCTTCTCCGGATACCGGCCCAATATCAACAATGTGCGTATTGTCCGTCAGCCAAAGATGAAGTTTGCCCTTTTCGTTGCCTTCCTCAGCATACACCGGCAGAGTAACGAGCATCACATTCCTCTTATCACCATCATTTCCAACAGTCGCTGTGATGAACCCGCTTCTAACGGCCGTCGCTTGTCCGTCCTTTTTGTTGCTGCCCCACACGCGCGAGAGTGTCCCGAGGGCCTCCGTCCACGACTCCCCCTTGTCACCGGACTCGTACACCCTGCGAGGGCCACCAGCACACGCAGTCATCATCATGAGTTTTCCCTCCTCCCACTCCACGACGGAGGGATCGCTGCAGCCACCGTCAGACATCCCCTTCGACAGCGTCCAATTCGTAGTATCCTTCGACTGTATGATCAGTGAGACAGTCTTCACATCTACTTCTGCGCCCTCCGCCGCCTTCTTCGTGCCTTCCACTGGGAACACAAGAGTCTCGTCATGCATCTTAACACCCGATCCACCGCTTCCAATCAGCCTTGTCCAGGAATCGGGCTGTGTGCCAAAAAGTCTTTGCGGGGAACTTTCAGTAACTTCCCAGTCAATTTTGTTATTTGTACCCCCACCACTGACGCTCCCTTTCACCAGCAAAAGTCCCAATTGAGCCGCATCATCCTGTCCAGAAGCGGCAACTTTACTGCCGTACTGTCCAACAAGCATGTAAATATCATTCCCCTTCAAAACTGTTGTTGGTCGACTCACATCTACTTTCTTCTTTTGACCTCCGGAAGCATCTTCCTCGAGTACTTTTGTCCAATCTTTGGATTCTTTCAGAACTTCCTCCGGTGTGTCAGCAGTTTCTGTCGTGAGAGGTTGGGATGCAACGCCAGTAAAACTGACACCACCGTTCTTCTTGCACTGCGCCTCGGCAACGGCAAACACGTCATTCCCGACTTTTAGAAGGCTGGGAGCACCCAACGACTCCACAGTTTCACCTCCACTCTCATTGATGCCCCTCCATTTAAACTGGAGACCAGACAACGGCTCCTCCACAACAACTTGTGCAGCTCCACTGCCGCAGCACACCATCACGACGAGGAGGAGCACCGCAGGGTAGAAGAGATGCCGGGACATGTTGGGCCTCTGCGACTCACTCTCTCCTCCTTCCCTCCTCCTCCCGCTGGATCCAGTCACGCGGCGACGGTTGTGTGTGCGGGGTGCCTCCACTGCAGCAACACGTGAGAGCATACAAATATGTGTGTGTGGGCGGTGTGTGTGCTGTTGGTCCTTTCAGTGCCTTACAATTTCACAGTGGCGATTCGCGCTTGTTGTTAACTTCTTTCCTTTGTGTGTGGGTAAGAGAGAAGTTAAGAAAAAGAAGTGAAACAGTGAACACCGCCTGCGTCCACAGTGAGTGGCATCATCATCGTCATCCCTGCCGCAGTCACCCTCAACAACAACTCACGCACGCAGACACATGAAACGGGAAGGATGAACAATGCAGCGGGAACACACAGCAACGGTCATCACCAGCAGCAGCAGCAGGAGCCACGCCCGGCACGTCGTTATTCGTGACGCGTCAGCACACACTGAACAACGCCCTCACAAAAAGAAAAACCAGCAGGATAAAAAAACACAGCCGCCCTTCACGGCACACACGCGCTGCCGCCAGTCGTTTTACTCTTGTCTCTTCCAACGCACCCGCACATCGCCCCGCACAGCCGGTGAATCCTCCGTCGGCGTACGAACAGCGGGAGGAACACGTCAGACCGTCCAGCTGCTGGGCTGAAGCCCATCCGCAATAATCCCAGACACCAAAACGCCACGCCGCCCATGGGCAGCAAGCCCAGGAAACCACGCTCGCAGCACGGCAACATAACAATTCGCGGTCATCCGTCATCCCTCCTCGCAAGGGCAGCCGCAGCAAGAATCGTGTACGTGCGTGCGTCCTCAGCGTTCACGCCGCCCCACAGCGTGCGCAACATGGCGTGTGCATCTGCTAGTGCGTTTGTCAGCGTGTACACCTGCAGAGCAGCTGTGCGGCACAAGAGAGTTCCAACAAAGCAAAGATAGGGAGAAGCGGATAGCACACACGCAGATTACTCTTACCACCACACACACACACACGCAGCCGGCGGAATGGGTGCACTCAACCACAACACAATGAAAAACAAAACAAAAAGAAGCGTGGGACGACCAGCGCACACACACTCTCATTGCTCCCGTAAAGCAAAACACACACACAGAGGGAGAGAGAGAGAGGTCGCCCACTCAATGCAATAAAAACAAAACAGAAACAGTTACGGTGCTCCGCCCATGCAGCCAGGCAGGACGGAAGCGGTGCGTGTCGTGCAGAAGAGAGCACCAACGGGCCTGCATGGGTGTGCATGCATATATACAATGGGCACATTATGTGTGTGCCTCGTGGGGTGAGGTGAGGGCGAGAGTCCATGCAAGGGGACACACACACACAGAGAGAGAAGGACGAGTGTGTGTGCGGGCGGTGCACGGCTCTCTCACACTCACTCTCACGCGGCCACCACCGCAGCAGCAGCCGCACACGCAACAACAACAAGAAGAAGCAAAAGAGGGGAGGTGGTGTGGGAGGCCGCGGTGCTGCTGTCACTGTCAGCTGGTATCTATGTATTGATTGTTTTATTGGTGGCGTTTTCTGGTACTGTTGTGTATCTCTCATCATTATCTGCCTCAGTGTTCCTGTCTCCTGAGGCGGCTTCAAATTCTGCGGTCTTACCGTTGTGTGCCACGTCATCATTGACGTCGTCGTTATTGGCCCGTTCAAGGTCACCCGCATCACCAGAGGTTTGAGTGCTTCTTGTGCCAGCGGTAGTCCTTTCAGCAGTAGGAGCTGCACGGCTGCTGTCGTTGTCGTCATCATACGTCGTGGCAATTATACCTGCGTTGGGTATTTCCTCCGATTGCAATTCGGTGTTGCTGGCTGGCAGGGCAGCGGGGCCAGTATCTCCCTCGGAATCATGTCGTGTCACTGAGGCGGCAGGAGGTGTGGGATTGTTAGCACCACTGTTCTCCACCGTGCTTCCGGCAACGCCACTGCTGTCTGTGGAGGTAGATAATGGTGTTGTACTCTCTCGACTCAAATGCGATACGATCTCCGGTGACTGCAAGGAGGATGCTCCTTCCTCGTGCTTTGTTGAGCCTTTCGTTTGTGGCATCTTCGTTTCGTGTGAGTGACCTCCGTCTTGTGGCTTTGAATGTTTTTCCGCTGTAATTGCTGGATGTGTTTCTTCTGACTGTAATGTGTTTGTTCCTGGTGGTGGTTGTCGTGGCATTGATGGTAGTGATTCTGCTGGAGGTGGTGGTGGTGGCGGTTGGGGACTTTTCGTGCCTTCCTCATCTTCCGGTTGGCCGCCTGCTGGCACTTGACTCCCAGTTTGTTTGGGACGATCGGCATCTGAACTGACATTCTGTTCGCCTGTTATTTGTGAATCCTCGTTTCCTGCCAACTTATTCGTCACTTCCAGTGAACCTGTATGTTCCTGTCCTTCTTCTCCACCTTCTCCCGCCTGTGGCATCTGGTCTGAAGAAGATAATCCCTTCAATGTGCCATCGCTGCCCTCGCCAATTTTGTCATCAGAATCAACAGCAGCGACAACAGCGGAGTGTTGACGCCTCCAACGGCTACGGCCATCCACAACGGCACGCACACCGTCCATCCCCCGAAGCATGCATTCCTCCACGGCAGAAATATTCGCACCGCCTCCTGTCCTCCTGCCGAACGCCTCCGCGCACTCCCTCCGCAGCTGAGCGCGCCGTCCCGCAAAACAAAATACTCATCCGCACCGCCATCACCTCCGCCGGCACCATCGGCCGCCACCACACTAACACCGCACCACAGCACGCAGAGGGCACACACCAGCAGCGCACGGCCAGTCATCATCATCGCCATCACTCCTGTCACTTGCCTGCAGCCTTCAGCACAAACCAACTCCCCGTCAACGCAGCGTGAAAGCAAAGAAGAGACAAGTCACACAACAACGCGCAAAGTAAACAACGGCAGCAGCCCTGCGGCAGCACGCACACCGACCTGCAAATCAGAAGCAAAAAGGCAATACCAAAACAATAAAAAAAGGAGTTAAGTGTCCAACAGGAGTCCCCCCGCCCAGAAAAAAATACACCTCAGCAACATTTTCATTTCATACGCCATGCGGCACAGCATGTCTGTGTTCATACATACATGCGTACAATGCCCTCACAAGAAAAAAAATCGTACTGTTCCACCAGCCCACACAACAACCCTCACATTTCATGCGGCATCCGGCCTGTCTCTCCACTCCTCCTTTCGTGCAGTCCGTGAAACGCACAGCCGCAGGGCCGGCACCGAGTGCAGGCAACAGAAGCAAGCAGGAGGGAAACACTTCTCTCATGACGGTGTGCAGCAGCCGACCATTAAGTAAAGAAAGGAATGAGCGCGTATTATTCCAGTCAGGCAAAATCAAAAAAAGGTAAAAACAAAACCTGCGGGGAACGCAGCTCATATTCTCCGTGAGAAGTCGAAAATCGACACTCCGTGGCTGAGAAGACTGCCACAACCCCACACAGTCCCAAAAGCGGAGGCAGCAGTGGTTTCTCCACCCACAAGAGGCGATAATTTCGCTGCCGTCCACCGTCGGCAAGGACAAGTCAGCTTCAAAAGAGATTCCTCTGCTCTCGCTGACTTTCTCGTTGTTTAAAGGAATTGTGCTCTGTGTGGCGCTGCTGCACGCACTGCTGTTTGTCGGCTCCCTGGCGGCGGGGGCGGGTGCTCGAGGACCATGGATGCTGTCCCATCGCTGCACACATCGGTGGTGTTGGGCGTCGTGAGGTCAGGACTCATATATTCCTCCATTCCTACGGAATCATTCGTGCCGCCGTAATCCGAGCAGCTCCTCGCCGCAAAATCGCAGAATATCGCATTGAAAGCCTCCTCTTCCGTTACATATTGACCATCCGGCTTCTTACCAGTACGACACGCAGTCCAGTTGCTCTCGCCGAATAGACGCCAGTGCACACCGGAATCCTCGCTCCCACACGCACCGTACAACCATCGCCATCTTTCTTCGCGTACACGTGCGAGCAGCAGCAGCAGTAGAGTTGCTGAATTCGGCGAGCAGATCTGCACACCAAGTGGAGAAGAGAAGGGCAAAAGAGAAATAAAAAGAGGTGCAGCAAAAAGACACACACATCGTCGCAGCGTCGCCGTTGCGTGCGCGGTAATGATGCGACCTCCCGCGGCAGGCACAACTCGCACACTGCACGCACCGCAAAACGACATCCACACAAGAAACACGCACACACAACGACAGAACAGCCACCATAAAATAGAAGGAGGAGAGAACCACAACCATCTCCCCCTAGTTGCACAACAAACGGCCCTCCCTTTCTATGCGAGACAGTTGCCGCAAGCTTGCCATCGTTCCGCTGCACGCTCTCAGCGCCCACAGTGGGAGTCAGCACAGCGCAAAAGTGAGAAACAAAACGCATCTCACTCCCGTCGGGAGAAATAAAAACACCGCAACGGCAACAACAACGGTGCGAGAGTGTCGCATCGGATGGTACGATGGCGTTGTTGGCGTCCAGACCAATGACGCGTGCCCTCTAAAATACGCGTGGAAGATACCGCACGTACGACTGCAGGGTTGCGTCCGCAGATAAACGGCATTCGGAGCCAAGTCTGCCTCTCGGTGGCAAAGACGGGTCAGGAATGTCGTCGGAGAGGCACCACGGCAGACGGCAGGGTAGAGCAAGGTACCGCACAGGGGACACAAATATTCGCCTGCCTCGTCCCTGGAGAAGCACAACCAATTTGGCCGGGGTTATCTCGCCCTCTGGCGATGGCACATTTTTAAAAACTCTCGCGGTATTGGGGAGACTCGGCAATGCCCCAACGTGCTTGCCGCGATTCCACGAGAATGTGGACGGTCTGCATTTGTCCATGCAAGTCAAAGTCGATAGGCGCATCATCGGGGATACGGTTTGAGTGCGCCCAACGACGGTTACTTGCCTCATGCCACATCACAGGCAGGCCGTCCCTCATCATTCCCTGCAGGATTCGCCTACGCTCCTCCAAGGAGTACTGGGGGCGTCCGTTGTGCTGCACGCGGATCGCATCATCTTCCATAACAACTCCATTCACTAAAAGACCGCGGCTAAACAGCCCGTCCACAACAATCGTCAAGGGACCGCCACCCACCGCGTGCTGAGGTGGAAAACGCACGCGATGAATACGTCTCCGGTAGGTTTCATCGCAAATACACAACCGCTATTCCCTCCGTCACTGTGTTGTCATCACCGCAGCAGCAACGCACCAGTGCAGGCCATGTTGGGTATGATGGGAGAGAAAGTCCCATTCTCCAAGCCATTATGTCATCAAGAGAGTCAGACGGCTGCTCTGCCACGGTGATAACGTGCCCCATCAGGCGCAACATAATATCAGCGTCCAGCAGATTGGAAGGCGCGGTTGTCACCCCGCCAATAAGAGAAATGCGCGCCACCACACGAGGCTCCACTGGCACTCCCGCCTCCATATTGTGTTCCCTCAGTAACGGACTCTGCGTCAGCACCGTCGCCACACTGGTAGGTCTGGATGTGTCTACTGCACGGCACGCGTTGCTGCCACCGCCCGCTCCTCCCCTGTTTGCTCACCACCCATCGTCATGCGGCAGCAGCAAGTGAGGCAAACCTCGATTGGTTCCGCCTGCAATTCCCCCGGCATCTGCTCGATCCACCGCCATGGAAAAACGGCGATGCGCAGCGGCGGAGCATTTGATCGTATCAGCAAACAAATTGGGGAAAAAGGACTCAACCACACACACAGGACTCCCAGCAGGAAAAGGTACAAACGGCGTGGATAACACGACTCAAAGTAACGCTTCCAACACAAAGCGTGGATGACTCTGTCGACGCCACACCCGCACCGCATGCCACCAACTCCTCCACGGCAAAAACAAACTGGCAAGAGGGAAAAGAAATAAAAACGCTTCGAGAAAGCAAAAAACGCCACTGCAGCACCGCATCCCTCACAACGTCGTCAATCGGCCTAAGGCCTGTCGTCTCGAATCCACCTGGCGTACACCGTTCTCCCGGCACTTTTGTTGAAAGGCGGTCATCCACCAGCCGCGATCCGTCGGTCACACGAAGAGTGCAGGCAACAGGCATGTCTGTCGCACCCTCCATCACCCTCACAAAGCGTCGAATTGTCGTTGGCAGGAGTAATGTTGTTTCTGCTCCACGCGTCTCCATCCCCTGGGAGAAGAGACACGCCGACTGCTGCCACCAGTTCCTCCCCCGTCGCCTCTCTCCTCCACAAGTCTATAATATTCCGCAGAGTTGCTCATGGCAGTGTCTCCATTATCCCGCACGTGAAACAAATTAAACTTCTTCTCCCTGAGACCCAAAGCGACCAAAACAAAAGCGAGCCGAGCATCCAACGGCTGCACTGGCCCAACCACAAAAAGCTGCACCAAGTACACAATGGCAGGATCGCGACGGCGACACTGCAGAAAAATAGGGTCCACTGCGGAGATTAGTT